GAAGGAGTGGGAGGGAAGATTTGAGGGGTTTATGCAAAGGATTCTAGTTCGTGCCTACATCACTGAAGTCGCAACTACCATTTTTATTTGGGGTGTGGGGCGAAAATGGGAGGATAGGCTAGAATTGTGAAAAACAGTAATGCCCTAGTGAGTACAACTTTTACTTGTGGCATGTTCTACTATAGGTTTATTTAAATAAAGAATAGCCAAGTTGGAACAGCTTTTAACAACAAGCCATTTTAAGCATTGGCTCTTCCTCCTCTGTTTTAAAAATGTATACAAAGAAAAGGCTTATATTTATTTAACACGTTTTCATGATCTCAGAACATCTCCAAGTGCTTCACGTTCAATGAAATAGCTGGTGAAATGTAATCACTATTTTAATGTTGGGGAAAAGTGAGGCCAGACAGCACAGGGCAAGATCCCTCAAATAGCAATGATATAATGACCTGTTGAGCGACGTTTAGTGATGTTGAGTGATTAAAAAATAGCCAGAATACCAGGACAAATTGCTTTTTCTTCTTTGAATTGCCCCAAAGGATCTTTTGTTCCCATTTTAGAGGGTAAACTAGCCTTAATCTTATGGCTCATCTGACCGTGCAGGACTTTGTTGGTTTTTCATTGAACAAATAGGTCCTTTGTATCAGTGACCTGCACTCTGTGTGTTCTCTCGGTGTGTGAATCCATTGAAAATTATTATGCAGCCAAAGCAAGGGATGAGGGAAGCAAACAGAGTCTTGGCATTTATTCTGAAGAGAATGGAATATAAAAAATGGACATTCTACTGCTGATACATGGTCAGTATTGGCGAGATATTTGTGAGTACTCCAAATGAGGAGACCAAATCTCTTTTTTAAAAAAAATGATAGAACAAAGAACAAAGAAAATTACAGTACAGGAACAGGCTGTTCACCCCTCCAAGCCTGTAACGACATGCTGCCCGTCACAACTGAAACCCTCTACTCTTCCGGGGACCGTATCCCTCTGGTCCCATCCTATTCATATATTTGTCAGGTCGCCCTTTCAAAGTCACGACAGTATCTGCTTCAACTACCTCTCTTGGCAGCGAGTTCCAGGCACTCACCACCCTCTGTGTAAAGAAACTTGCCTCGTACATCACCTCTAAACCTTGTCCCTCGCACCTTAAACCCATGGCCCCTGGTAACTGACTCTTCCACCCTGGGAAAAAGGTTCTGACTGTCCACTCAGTCCATGCCCATCATAATCTTGTAGACCTCTGTCAGGTCGCCCTCGTCCTCCGTCATTCTAGTGATACCGGGCAACATCCTGGTAAATCTTTTCTGTACCCTGTCCAAAGCCGCCACATCCTTCTGCTAGTGTGGTGACCGGAATTGATCACAATATTCCAAATGCAGCCTCACTGAGGTTCTATAAAGTTGCAGCATTACCTGCCAATTTTTAAACTGATTGCCCCGGCCGATGAAGGCAAGCATGCCGTATGCCTCATTGACTACCTTTTCCACCTGCATTGCCACTTTCAGTGACCTCTGTACCTGTACACCCAGATGGGGCGGCACGGTGTCTCAGTGGTTAGCACTGCTGCCTCTCAGTGGTTAGCACTGCTGCCTCACAGTGCCAGGGACCCGGGTTTGCTTCCACCGTCGGGTGACTGTGTGGAGTTTGCACATTCTCCCCATGTCTGCGTGGGTTTCCTCCGGGTACTCCGGTTTCCTCCCACAGTCCAAAGATGTGCAGGTTAGGTGGCTTGGCCATGCTAAATTGCCCGTTGTGTTCAGGGGTGTGTAGATTAGGTGGGTTATGGGGGGATGGGTCTGGGTGGGATGCTCCCTGGGTCGGTGTGGACTTGTTAGGTCAAAGGGCCTGTTTCCGCACTGTAGGGATTCTATGAAAGACCCATCTGCCTGGCAGAAGGCTGGCAAGGATAATCCAGCTAATTACAGGCCGGTGAACCTTGCGTCAGTAGAAGGGAAATTATTGGAGAGGATTCTTTGAGACAGGATTTACTCCCACCTGGAAATCAGTGGGTGTACTTGTGAGAGGCAACATGGTTTTGTGAAGGGGAGGTCGTGTCTCATTAACTTGATTGAGTTTTTTGAGGAAGTGACGAAGCTGATCGATGAGGGTTCGGCAGTGGATGTTGGCTACATGGACTTCAGTAAGGCCTTTGAGAAGGTCCCTCATGGCAGGCTGACACAGAAGGTGAAGTGGCACGGGGTCAGAGGTGAGCTTGCAAGATGGATAAAAATCTGGCTCGGTCATAGAAGACAGAAGGTAGCAGTGGAAGGGTGCATTTCTCAATGGAGGGCTGTGACAACTGGCGTTCCTCAGGGATCAGTGTTGGGACTTTTGCTGTTTGTGATATATATAAATTATTTGGAGGAAAATGTAAGCCATGAGGACTGTCCAAGGATACAGTTAGATATAGATGGGTTGGTGACTTGGGCAGAGAGATGGCAGATGGAGTTTAATCCGGAAAAATGTGAGGTAATGCATTTTGGAAGGTCAAATCCAGATGGAAAATATACAGTAAATGATATCATGACATTTGAAGCAGTTCAGAGAAGGCCCACTCAACTCATTGCTGTGATGAAGGGCTTACATTATGAAGAAAGATTGAATATGTAGGTCCTTTACCCATTGGAGTTGAGAAGAAAGATTCTTATTGAAACCTAGAATCCCCTTGGGATTCTAGGGTTAATGCCGGGAAGTTGTTCCCACTTGTATGTGATATCAGAGCACTCTCTCTGAAACAGGTAAAGGGAATTTTTTTTTCTTTCAGACAGTTGTTAGTCATTGGAATCCACTTCCTCACAAGGCGGTGGAATAAATGAATGAGCGATTTATTGTCATAGATATCCAGGGAAATACTGGAAATTCAGTTGTCACAATCTAGTGCCATTTTGAGGTACAAAATCATAAAAACAAAGTACTTGCATACAGCTCATCTACATTGGCTGGGATCCTAAACACGGCTCCAGGACTTGTGCAAGGTTGCCGGCTTGGGCCTACTGCAGCCACGAGTCCCTGTTCTTCTGTCACTGCAGTCAATGCCACGCCGCCAATTCCAGGAGTCAGTGCGGCAGGCCTACAAAGATAGGTGTCCCCGCCGACATGGCTGTGGCCGCCTCCTCTCTCTTTCTTGCTCCTGTCACACCTCCCCTGCGCACGCGCACCACACCGACCCCCCCCAAACACTTTCATATGCAGGGAGGTGTAGGTCAGGGGAATGTCAGCAGATGAGAATTAGAAGCTGGCATAAAACCATTCAGACGTTTTGAGCCTGCTCCAACATTCAATAAGATGATTGGCTGATCTCTTTATGGTCTTGACCCACTTTTCTGTCTGCTTCTCATAATCCTTGATGCCCTTTTCTATCAGACCTATCCAAATCAGCCTTGAGTAAATTCAAAGGCCCAGTTTTCAGGGGAAGAGAATTCCACAGATTAATGACCCTTGGTAAATAAACATTTTCCTCATGTGGATCTTAAAAGGAAGACCATTTATTATTAATCTGATTCTTGTGTTTCAGTGCCCTTGCTCAAAAAAAGGCAGGTCAATAAACAGGAGAAAACATTGTCTGGTAATGGTTAGAGTGGACATACTGTTGAAGTGGCTCATAAGATGACAGTGGAAGTACTGTTCCTGTTTTGTTTTCTTCTTGAAACAGGTATTATACTTGTCGGAAACTTCATATTTATCAGCGCTTTATTGCTCCAGCTGTTGCAGCGAACTGTAAAATGACTGTTTTCATAAATTATACAGCAACAGTTTAAAAGTAATGTTTGTGACCTTCTCGAGTATTAAGCAAGAGTTTCATTTAGTGATTTCAATCAATGGGAGTACAATTGGCAAAAACATTTGACGTACTTCAAGACAATTGCTGCTTATGTGCAAAACTGAAATTATTTTCAGTGACTGGTCCTTCCAACGGTATAGAATCATAGAATCCCTACAGTGTGGAAACAGGCCCTTCGGCCCAACAAGTCCACACCGAACCGCAAAGCATCCCACCCAGACCCACCCTGCTATAACCCACCAAATCTACACATCCCTGAACACTATGGGCAATTTAGCATGGCCAATCCACCTAGCCTGCACATCTTTGGACTGTGGGAGGAAACCGGAGCACCTGGAGGAAACCCACGCAGACACAGGGAAAATGTACAAACTCCACACAGACCGTCGGCCTAGGGTGGAATTGAAGCCGGCTTCCTGGCGCTGTCAGGCAACAGTGATAACCACTGAGCCACTGTGCCACCTTATTTAGCAATCATTGCTTTCATGCACAAATATGAATGCATTTGTTATAAATCATTTTCAGATGTTGTGAAATACAAAATGGAGTCCAGAAAACGACACTGTATGTCATTTTCTTGACAGCTCAAACATGCAAACAACCCTAAACTATCGCATCGCAATTTTGGATCAAGCAAATGTGCTACTAAGGTTCTAAGAGACTCAAATCAATTCAAACATTTAGGCACAAAAGCAGAATTGCTGGAAAAGCCAGCAGGTCTGGTAGCATCTGTGAACGAAAGAACAGTGTTAACGTTTCGGGTCCAGTGACCCTTCCTCAGAAAGCATTTTGGTATGTGTTTAAAATTGTATTGCAGCAAGTGGACTTATAACTTGCAAAGTGCTGAGAGGCAGTAATTCCCCTGAGTGCTGCCTCTTAGAACACTCGGAGTAGAATCTTCTCCAAGCAGCAAATGAAGTACTTCATCACAATTTTCCTCCTCTAATTCTTTTCTTAATTGTCAATATGTCGAACAGCCTTGCAATTTTAGGTTTGTTGTAGAAGTTCTTTCATGACGTTGTATTCTAGAAACATTGTTTGGAAAAGCTCAGAAGTTTTGTGAGAACAGTTGGATTCCATTTAATTGTTTCAGCTGGTGCTGATAGTTCATTATTTGAAAAATGCTGATTTTTTTTCATTAACATATCTTTATAAATAAGGCCACATGAATCAGAGAAAAGTTGATGCATGTAGTCAAATCTTCAATTTTGCCTCTGTTTAGGTTACTAATGTTATTACCAGAAGCAACTGAGAAACAAATGGATAATACTAATAGGGACAGATCTGGAACCAATAAGTCTGTCTGTGGACTAATGGGAGTACCAGCGTTATCCAGATAGAGGAATTCATTGGTCAAATGTTGACAAAATTGCGTTTGAAGGTCTTTGTTCCGTAGAACAATTGTATACCGTTGTTAATTCACCATAATTGGTGAGTAGTTCTTGAGCCAACCACTATTGTGTCTGAACTGGAAGGATACATATTTGGTGTAATTTAGCAGTTCTTCTTGTGCAGGGGACAAAATGTACTGCAGAATATTTATCCCCCAGTCAAAATTATCTTGGCATGAGCAATCTTTCCCAAAGCTGCTCTTGTCATTTGGTTGTGTTTTGCTCATCTCCATCTCTCTGAAATTGAGCACAGATTAAAAAGTAAGCTTTGTGAACATACCCAGAGGATTTTTGTAAAAGATTATTTTAGGGTATTGAGTAAAAAAACAGAAATAATTGATTTTGTCTGGCCCTTTGTCACATCCTCAGGGCATCCCAAAGTAGTTTACAACCAAAAAGTAAAACCAGTTTTACAGTAAGCTTGTTCACCACTTGGTGAAATATGTTTTATTTACTGTCAGTTTGCACACTATTTAAAATAATGAGTCTAATTGGCAATTGAAAAAATGCATTAGCCAATCATTTAGCAATGTTAAGAAACAAAGTAATATTGCGATTTCATGCTGAAAACAATCTAAGTTATCAGTAACTTTGAATTAAGAGGTGCACACTAAAGCTGCCATATAAATACATGTAAAGCCATCTCCTGGACATTACCGCTTCACGGTGCAGTATCGTTAAACCTGTGGACAAACGTGTGAGCCTTCAGGCCAGATCATAGTTAAATATCTTCCCTTCCAAACTGAGGTTTCTAATTTAGCATCTGAGAATATATTAAAAATGATTGAATGATGAATCAAGAAGTACGATCTGCCTTTGCCTGGATCAATATTATTGCCTTTGATCCGAAAATAATTGTAAAGATCGCCAAACTGTTTGGATTCCTGGTCGTGTATATGCCATTTGAAGTCTACATTGCAATGTTTGTAATTTTATAAGTTATGTTAAGCTATGTCTTGCTATGTTCAAAGTACAAGCAGGACTCCAGTAAACCCAATTAATCTAGTAATTTCTTCATTGCTGAGTATTTTCAACTACCTTTTGAAACTGAACTGGTGTTATGACCAGGTGAGAAGAGGGAATTGCTTCCGCTCTTTTTAAATCCCCTTTCAGTGAACTTCAGATATACTATTTTTTTATCACTCCACTCCAGTGAAAAAGTTAGTTTGTTCCAAAATTAAGGAGTCAATTATCAAGCATTGCTTGAATGCAAGAAGGAAGAATTTAATGGCAGAATTGAATCTTCAGCAGTAGCAGAAACTGTAGATCTGAGGTCTGTGAACATTTTGTCAATTTGCTTTTCATTCATTGCTGGTTTTTTTTTCCAGAGATGATGACAGAAACAGGCAGGGTCAGAGAATTCCAGCTCTTACTTACACCCATTCAATTTTTCTTCTTTCAAAAGCAGCAGTTAAAATGTAGTTCATTAATGCACAAGAGTACTTGCCACCCAACAACAGTGAAAGGAAGAGATAACAAGATGTACAGCTGGATGAACACAGCAGGCCAAGCAGCATCTGAGCAGCAGGAAGGCTGATGTTTCGGGTCTGGACCCTTCTTCAGAAAAGGGTCTAGACCTGAAACGTCAGCCTTCCTGCTCCTCTAATGCTGCTTGGCCTGCTGTGTTCATCCACCTCTTCTAGTTGTTATCTCAGATTCTCCAGCATCAGCAGTTCCCACTAACAGTGAAAGGAATGCCGTTCAGGATGGACCTATAGTTGGTATGTGACATCACAGGGTTTGCCTCTCAGGTGTGGTATGCTGGAGCAGTGACTCTTAAAGAAAAAGAATAGCTGAGAAGTGAAAGTTTGAAAATTCTTCTGAGGTGGTGTCATATTTTTAAATTGCACCTGACCACCTTTACCAATTGTACTTTCTCTTGCTAAAACAGATTATTAGATACTTGAACGCTACATAAATCTAGACTATTTTCAATCACTTAACTGGTCTTCAAATGTGTTTGTTGCCAACAGGCCTATGACAAAATACTTGCCAAGTCTGTAACACTGCCTTAAATAAGGATGATTATTTTTGGAAGACCTGTCATTATGGTGAGAGATGCAGATAAAATCAGTCTGGATTAGAGTCAGTGACTGGGCCAGCTGCTTTGTTACTTATTTTCCAGAATAAAGAGGTAAGGCTGCTCAGTAGTAATATTTACCGGAAACTCTCCTACTCATGTGGATCATTAATGAAAAGATCAGTCTTGTATACACACTGTTTGGCACAGGCATTGAAATGTGATTCAAATGAGTATGCATCTAATCGCTAAGAACTGGACATCTCTAAAATTTTGTTGTGATCTATCTTGTAGTTTGTCCTCCCATTTACTTGAAACAAATTGTCTGGCTGAACTTTTAGTTTCCTGAATTGGAGCTGATGTTCTATCATGTATGTTGTTCAATAATTACATCGCTCACATTTTGTAATGCCTGATATTTCAAAAACTGGAGCATTGTACTGTCTCCATCTTGGTTACCCTTTGCTTTTGGCATTCTTTTTTGAGGGTAAAACTGGCCAGAGAGGTAGTGGTGGTTTAGAAATGTTCCCTTTGATTCCAACTGAAACATGCTCTGTTGATTTCAGCTATGAAATTTTTTGATTGTTTGCCCTGTTTTCCTGACAAACTCCATTAGAGAGGAAATTTTGTGAACTTTCTGTGAAACACCTTGGGATTTCTCTGCATATTAAAGACACTACATTAATACAATTGTTGTTAAAAGGAAAATAATTATCGCTGAATGTTATGATTTTAATTATCACAAACTTGCGAACACTTTGTTGAACTTTGTTTGTGTGGTTGGTCACGTTTATAATCGTTTAATGTTGGTGTTGAGTTCCTATTTCCAGTACTAAAGGAAATGTTTCCAAATGCTTCACATGCATATCCAGAGATGGAATTTATTTCAAAACATGATTACTAAGAGTACGAAGTTGCACTGCACATTAGTCACGTCCTGGAATCACTCAATTATATTTATGTCGTTGTTCATGCTTGATGCTCAAAATTGCAACACAGTATTGTTGTTTTGCAGGTGACTGAGATACAGTGCTCGTAATTTCTGAAACTGATGTTATGCTTCCAGAAGCTTTGAAGCAGATGCCAATGTTGATTTAGTTTTTTCCCGTGTCTCCATGTATTTTTAACTTGATAAAATAAATTTATGTTCATTCTTGTTTATTTTTGTCTGCCTATTCTGTTTGGGTCTTAACAGTTGGTGTGTTTGGAATTGTTGCAAATGCTGAATCTGTGATCAAGTTCTTTTCAAAAAGCTGTGACCTGTATGAAATAGATTTTTAAATAAGCTCTCAGGAACATGTTTGCAATTATGCAGAATTTTATAGGATGTGGAAAAACAGGTTTCCTGACATAAATGGGGATTCGGTAGAAAAGTGATAAGGGCAGCTGAAAACTTCTCGGCTTGTGCTTCTGACTGGTTTTAAGTATTTTTGAAACTGAGCTAAGTAGCTTAACAAATCAACCTCAAAATAGAAAATTCCATTGAATTTTGCTAAAGCTTAATTAACTTTGTACATTTTATTGTCATACAGATTGAGTAGTATCGAGTAAAATTGAGTAATTAGCGTGTTTGTGAATAGGTAAAAGCAGAACCATTTGTAATGACCTCACTGGTTGAATAGCCCACTGACTTTGTTAAGGTTGTCGTAATAACAGGTTCCATCATCTATATAACTTTATCCCAAAAGGAATCATGAGTGGGGGTAAAATTGCAAGAAGGAAAATGAGGTCACTGGTTTCATTGTTGGATAAACATTGTACTTCCAGTCAACCTCTGCACTTGAGAAAAAAAAATCGCTTGATTTCTCTAGATTCCACCACATTGGTGATTCAGCTCTAGAGGGTCTTCATTACAATCAGTTCAGGCAATATTCATATCGTGTTTTTAAAAGACATATCAAGTGATGCTCTAACTGAGGGTGCCGCTGATCGGTGATCACCTAACACCGGCTTGCACAAATGAGAATACTGTCATGTTCAACCTCTTAAAAACGAGCCTACAGTTTTAGTCATGAGATGGCAGGCTTCCGGTTAGTTCCTTCATTGGAAGTTCAAGGGTAGACTCTTCAGCACAGTTAGAAAGAAGGAATGTGCATTGATGTACTACCTTTATTGCATCTCTCAGTAAAAGTCGGCAAATATTTACGTATTAGGAATTAGTTCAAAAATGAGGTCACTGTTATCCAGTTAAATGTGCACTAAACTAACCTTCATTGCTCAGTCCGTTGAGTATAGGAGTTGGGAAGCCATGTTGAGGTTATACAGGACATTGGTGAGGCCTGTTGTGCGTTACTGGGTCCAGTTGTGGTTGCCCAGTTGTAGGAATGATATTATTAAGCTGAAGAACATAAGAACATAAGAACTAGGAGCAGGAGTAGGCCGTCTGGCCCTTCGAGCCTGCTCCGCCATTCAGTAAGATCATGGCTGATCTTTTTGTGGACTCAGATCCACCCGCGTTCTCACCGTATCCCTTAATTCCCTTATTGTTTAAAAAAAATTACCTTTTTTTAAAAACGTTTACTGAAGTAGCGTCAACTACTTCACTGGGCAAGGAATTCCATAG